TGCTTACAATAGGAAATTTCTAATTACAAAGTTGTACTTGCTCAGTATAAGAAATTCAAATAATTAAGAAGTAAAAGGTTTTTCTCTGATTTTCCAGTTTCATCTTGCCAAAGGTATTTACACGGTTGTCATTTTGGTGTGTATCCTTCCAGATACTTCTCAAGGCAGATACAAATATAAAATAAGTTGTATCAGAGCAAATTATATCATTTATGTGTTTCACTTACACAAACCAGCTCTACTGAGAAAGAGAGAGGATGCACCATTTAAATAATGAAGATGGGGCCGGCCCGTGGCTCACTCAGGAGAGTGTGGTGCTGATAACTCCAAGGCCAAGGGTTCGGATCCCATACAGGGATGGCCGGTTAGCTCACTGGGTGAGCGTAGTGCTGACAACACCAGGTCAAGGGTTAAGATCCCCTTACTGGTCATCTTTAAAAAAATAATAATAATCCGGTTCCCGCTCACTGGCTGAGCAAGGCGCGGGAGCAACACCGAGGGTTGTGATCCCGTTGCCGGTCCCCGGTCCGGTACAGAGGCAACACTGAGGGTTGCGATCCGTTGCCAGACACGGAAAAAGACAAAAGACAAAAAATAATAATAATAATAATAATAAAATAAATAATGAAGATGTACCCATACCTACCAGCTGCCAAAAAATAAATAGAGCTTACAGGTTAGCTCAGTTGGTTAGAAAACCATGTCATAGGGCCGGCCCGGTGGCGCACTGCTACAGTGCGCCGCTTGGGAGCGCAGCGGCGCTCCCGCCGAGGGTTCGGATCCCACATACAGACCGGTTTCCGCTCGCTGGCTGAGCGAGGTGCAGGCGCAACACCGAGGGTTGTGATCCCGTTGCCGGTCCCAAAAAAAAAAAAAAGAAAACCATGTCATAACACCAAGGTCAAGGGTTCAGATCCCTGTACTGGCCAGTCACCAAAAAAAATAAATTAAGGGCCGGCCCGGTGGCGCACTGGAGAGTGCGCCACTTGGGAGCACGGCGGCGCTCCCGCCAAGGGTTCGGATCCCATGTGAAGACCGGTTCCCGCTCACTGGCTGAGCGCGGTGCGGGCGCAACACCAAGGGTTGCGATCCCGTTGCCGGTCAGTAAAAAAGACAAAAAGGAAAATAATTAATTAATTAATTAATTAAATATTTAAAATATAATGAAGATGATTATGCCTGTCACTCAGTATCTTAGTCAGGGTGAGTTGGGGAAGCCTCTCATGTTCTTGAGTGTGATTCGAGATTTTAAAGTCATGCACTTTTCATACACCATGGCCTCTAAGTGCACAATAGCTATTCCATCTGGTGTTTACCTGCATGAGTAAAGAGATTCAAAGGTAATTTTTACTATATACCATGTTCGTTTTTTTTTTTTTTCCTTTTTGTCTTTTTTCGTGACCGGCAACGGATCGCAACCCTCAGTGTTGCGCCCGTACCGGACCGGGACCGGCAATGGGATCACAACCCTCGGTGTTGCTCCTGCCCCTCGCTCAGCCAGTGAGCGGCCGGTCTGTATGTGGGATCCAAACCCTCGGCGGGAGCGCCACCACACTTCCTAAGCAGCGCACTATAGCAGTGCGCCACCGGGCCGGCCCACCATGTTCGTTTTGTGTTCCAACTTTAACAGATATTGTCAAAGAAGTCCAGGCTTCCTGTTATTTACTTATACACCCTCAGACCAAATATTCCACTGCTGTCAGGGAGAAACTCTGTGTAATGAAAAACCAGCAGCATCAACATCACCTGGGTGTATGTCAGAAATTCAGACTCTTAGGCCCCACCCTAGACCTGCTGAGTCAAAGTTGTATTTTAACAAAGTCCCCTGATGATTTGACGTTTGAGAAGTGTTCATCTAACTGAATCAAGGGCAAGGTAAACTGAGGTGTAGGTGGGGGACAGGGAAGGCTGCCTGGAGGAGATGACACCTGAGCTGGAAAAATGAGTAGGAGGCAGCCAGGTGTGGCAGAGATTGGCCTGCTGCTCTTCAAACCTGCTTCTTCCTCTGGGGCTACACTGCATTCCCCAGCTGCCCTCCAGCTAGGTGTGGCCACAGGACTTCAGAATATGAAGGGAAGCTTTGAGCACCATTTGCAAAGTGGGCTCTGGAAAACCTCCAATGTCTGGTCCCTTCTGTGCTCTTTCCCTGTTTGCCAGAGAAATGGAGAGGTCACTGAGGAGTCTAGAGCCACAGGACGGACAAAGTCTGGGCACCTGAGTGACCTTCAGAAGCTGCCTCCTCACCTGATTGCCTGAAGGGACAATGAACATGAAATTGTGTTAAGTCCTTGAGATGTAGGGGTTGATATCATAGCAGTTGGCTTGCCCCTGCTAAAACAGCAGGCAGCGAAGAATGGTGGCTTTTTGTTTATTTGAGTCTTTACTTTTGGAAGGTGGCCAGAGGTAGGTAAGGGCTAGATCACAAGTGGATCAGGGCTGTGCTAAGAAACTGGAACCTCCAGTGATCTTAAGGGGATCTTAACTGGAAGTCTGAGAGCCCTTCTAGCAGTTGATGGAAGTTCTAGACCCTCTTCTTCCCAAAATACACATACTGGAACAATTTTACATATAATTCCATAAGATTCTCTGACTCTTTGGGGGGTGGGGGCAGCTGGCCAGGACAGACATGGAACCCTAGACCTTGATGTTATCAACATCACACTGTAATCAACTAAGCTAATTGGCCAGCCCTCCTCTGAAACCCAGACACAGAGACTCAGGTGGTCCACGGGCTCTGGACTAAGAAATGCTTTGAGTGATGGGGAACCACTTTACAAAGGGAAAGTCAGGTCAGATGTATCTCAAGAAAGCTATCCTAATAACTAAGGATTTATTTTTTATTTTTTATTTTTTCGTGTGTGGCTTATGAGAATCTGTTTTCAATTCTACAGTGATAAAAAGAAATGAGAAAATGAGATTCCTCTTAGAGCTAGCATGGCTGGGGCACATCTTTTTGACAATGTCATGGACTCCTGTGTTTATTCCGCACCACTGTTGTTTAAAACGAGATGTGTGACGGGGGTCACCCACTCTTCTGCATTCTTTCCCTTGTGTACCTGGCAGGGTGCAATGCCAGCTGGAGTATCCCCATCTCTGTTGAGCTGCTCTTTTCTCCCTGTGGCCACTAGAGGGTGCAAGGACCACGAGTAGGGGCTGAATACTGACCCAGCCCATGCCAAGCAGCCTGGGTCAGAGCTGTGCCTGGTAATTTAGCACTGTCAAACCCTCCCCGCTTCCCTGGGAACCAACAGCAGGCTCACAGAACACCAAGACTACAGGTAAATGTCCCCACCCCTGAGCATCTGTTGGTGTCTGACCCAACCATGCAGGCCAGCGTACCTGTGTGGGGTGACAGTCCCAGGAGGCCCAGAGAAATGCCCTCAGCGGGGCTTTGCTCTCCCCAAGTTCTGCACTCCTGAGCCCACAGAGGAGCTTGAACCCCTCCCAGCCCCTCTCCAGACAGTTTGGCTGTGTCTGAAAGCACCCAGGTACATTACAGGCTAGAATGACCCTGTAATGGATCAGGCCATGCTTCCTGTACATGTCTTGGTTTTCGTTTACTGTAAGTAATCCTGCTTCTCTGATGGGCCACAAGAGCAAGAGAAGGAAGAGGGCAGGATCATAGCTATGAGTTTGCTTAAACCAACATGGTGGTACACAATGGCTGCCAAACCAGTGCCTGCAACCAAACCAGGCCTCTGAGTAATGAGTCTTGAGGAGAGGTGGCCTTGGGAAGTACAAAGGGCCTGGGGCTCTGGAGTTGGACAGACCTGTGCTCAAACCCAACTGCCCATCTGCCAGCAGTTTTACTTACCTGCCCTCACAGGGAGGGCCTCAGTTTCTTCATCTTGAAAGTGAGGATGGGGCTGGCCAGTTAGCTCAGTTGGTTAGAGAGCAGTGCTGACAACCCAAGGTCAAGGGTTCAGATCCCCATACCACCAGCGGCCAAGAAAAAAAAAAAGCAAGTGAGGGTGATGTTCAGGACAATGTGTGATTTGAATGAGATAATAGTTCCCAGCACACACCACAGGAGGCCCTCAACTCATGGTAGCCACAATTAGACAGTGGTTTGGCTACAATGGCTGTGGAACAAATTTACTCCAACACGTAGTGGTTTCAAACAACTGTGCTGTTATTCCTGTGGGTCTGCAGGTGGACTGGGCCCAGCTGAGCTATTCCATTGCTGATCTTGCTTAGGGTCTCTCATGCTGTTGCAGTCTGATGGTCTGGAATCATCTGGAGCATTCACAGGACACTGGGAAGGCTGAGCCCCTCTGCACTCCCACGCTGCCTCGGATCCCTACCTCTCCATGTGGCAGCTCTAGCAGGATTGCCGAGCTTCCTATACTGCACCTTGGGACTCCTAAAAGTGCAAAAAGTGGATCTGCCCAGTCCTTTCAATGCTTGAATCTGGAGCTGATACCGCATCACATCCATCATCATCCACTGTTAAGTCCCAGGCAGCCCACATTCAGAGTGGGAGAGGACTACTCCAGAGAGCAAATACCAGAGGTGTAGCTGTCAGGGGAGCTTCGAAGGGACCACACACCAGACATGGTGTATCACTGTCCTATTGTTGCTGTAACAAATGACCACAAACACCTGGCCAGTTAGCTTACTGGATTAGAGCATGGCGCTAATAACACCGAGGTCAAGGGTTCAGATCCCTATACCAGCCAGCCACCAAAAAAAAAAAATGACCACAAATTTTGTGGCTTAAAACAGCATATTTTATTATCTTCCAGTTCTGGAGGTCAGAAGTCCAAAATGGGTCTCTCTGGGCTAAAGTCAGGGTGTGGCAGGGCTGTCTTCCTTTCTGGAGGATCTCAGACAAAATCCTTTTTCTTGCCTTTTCCAGCTTCAAGAGGCCGTCTGCATTCCTTGGCTTGTGGCCACTTCCCCCTCCTTCAAAGCACATCACTCCAGCCTCTGCTTCCATCCTCACATCTCCTTTTTCTTCTCTGATCCTCTTGACTCTTCCTATAAGATCGATACTAGCTGGCTTGTTAGCTCAGTTGGTTAGAGCATGGTGCTGATAACTCCAAGGTTGGGGGTTCAATCCCTATACACGCCAGCAAAAAAAAAGGGGGGCCCTCTTGGTTACACTGGACCCACTTGGACAATCCAGCATATTCTCCCCAATCTCAAGTTAGCAAATTAGCAATCTTTTTTTTTTTTTTTTCTGGTGTCTGGCCAGTACAGGGATCCAAGCCCATGACCTTGGTGTTATAGGACTGTGCACTAACCAGCTGACCTAACTGGCCAGTCCAGCCAGCAATCTTAATTTCATCTGCAACCTTCATTCCCCCTTGCCATGTAACAACATATTCACAGGGTCCAGGGGTTAGGACATGGGCACCTCCGGGGGCTATTATTCTGCAAATCTACCACAGGTAAAAAGAAAGGCACTTCATTGATTCTACTACATTTCTTCCTAAAACATTTTAATTTTTTTGGCAGCTGGCCAGTACAGGGATCCAAACCCTTGACCTTGGTGTTATAACACAACACTCTAAATGAGCTAATTGGCCAGACTTCTTTCTAAAACATTTTTAAAGATTAGATTTACCATGAATCATGTTTCAGGAAAAATGTGCCTCAAACTCTTACATAAATGCTCCCTTTTGCTTTTTTCATTCAACTAACATTGCCTGAGCTGCAAAAAACATGTGCCAGAAACTGTGCAAAAAGAGGTAGATGCACAAAACACAGTCCCTACTTTTGAGCAGTTCATGCTTATGGCTCCCCCAGCAACCATTTTCCCCTTCCTCTGGCTCACAGAACCCCAATTTTTTGCAGACAGAAATGGGCCCACCTCCGGGGCATGAATCTTTTTTTTTTTTTTTTTTTTAAAAATGACCGGGAAGGGGATCCCAACCCTTGGCTTGGTGTTGTCAGCACCACGCTCAGCCAGTGAGCAAACCGGCCATCCCTACATGGGATCCAAACCCGCGGCCCTGGTGTTATCGGCACCGCACTCTACCGAGTGAGCCACGGGCTGGCCCCCAGGGGCATGAATCTTGATGGGTCTAAGCAGGGATTGGGAAAGGACGCCTCACAGGCCAAGTCCAGGCTGCCACCTGTCTTTGTAAATAAAGTTTCATTGGAACACAGCCACACCCATCCTTTTATAAATTGTCTAGAGCTGCTTTTGTGTGACCATGGTGGCAGAGCTGAGCAGTCGTGACAGACATCAAACGGCCCACAAAATCAAAAACATTTACTATCTGGCTCCTTAAAGAAGAAGTTTGCTGATCCCTGGCTTAAGTCCATGGATCTCAACCCTGGCTATACCTTAGAATCATCTGGGGAAGCTATTTTTTAAAAAATAATCAAAACCAGGGCTGGCCAGTTAGTCAGTTAGAGTGCAGCCTCTTAACACCAAGGTCACAGGTTCAGACCCCATAGCAGCCAGCAACCAAAAAAAAAAAAAAAAAAAAAAGCCAAAATCCCACTCCCAAGTATTGTAATCTAATTGATCTAGGGTGGAACCTGGGCATCGGTATTTCTTAAAATCTACCCAGGAGATTCTATTGTCAGTTAAGCTTGAGAACCACTGGTCTAAGCCAGTCATGACACTTGTAACAAGGATTGATTTGGGGGTTGCCTTGGGTTGAATGTACCCCCCAAACTTAATCCCCACTGTAATGCTTGAGGGTGGGAAATCCTATCATGGTAACTGAAAGGTGGGGCCTTGAAGAGGTGATTAGATTGTAGGACCATGCCATAGCGAATGGATTAATCATGGTGGTCAGGAACATGGTTCTGAGGGCTTTAAAAGGAGAGCACATGAGAGGTGACTCTCTATGCTCCACCATTTTCTGCCATGTGACACCCTGTATTGCTGCAGGGTCACCTCACCACATGTGTTCCCTAGACTTTGGACTTCCCAGTCTCAGAAGCTGTAAGCAATAAATTTTGTTTTCTTTATAAATCACCCAATTTGGGGTATTTACATTATAAGCAACAGAAACGGATTAATATAGGGGTGCAGTGGGGATGGGAACCAACTCTGGCCAACGAACATAATGGGAAGTCCCCTGGGGGATTCTGGGGAAGCTTTCTCACCCTGACAGAAAGACAAACACGATGAGGCAGTGGTTCTATTTACTGTCTTCTCTCCACTCCTGCTGAGGATACAATTGTGGAAGTGTTGGATGGCTGGAGCTGTGACAACCATCCTGTGACCATGAGGAGATGAGCATGAGCTTAAAAAGCCACAGTGCTGAGGATGGTGGAGTAGAAGGATGGCAAGAACCTGGGTCCCCAACAACGTCACCAAGCTGCCAAACCAACCCAGGGCTGCCTCCCTCTGGACTTCTTGTTAAGTAATAATAAACATCTGTATGATTTCAGCCCCACTGGTGAGGTTTTCTATAACATGCAGCCAAATGTATTCCTAAATGACACAACATTCTAGTGGGGAGACAAAAACAAAGGGACAGTTACAATAGAGTGGACCCAGTGGGTTTAATGGTGTCCTCCCCACAAAGATATGTCCACTTCCTAATCTCCAGAACCCGAGAATGTGAGTTTATTTGAAAATGGGATCTTTGCAGATGTAATCAAGTTAAGGAGATCCAAAGATTATCTTGAATTATCCAGGTGGGCCCTAAATACAATGACAAATGTCTTATAAAAGATGCACGTATTAAAAAAAAAAAAAGATGCACATATAGAGCAGTGTTATATTGCCAAGGTTAAGGGTTTGGATCCCCATAGCCAGCCACCAAGCAAATTAAAAATAAATTATAAAAAAAAAAAAAGATGCACAGAGGACAGACATTAAGAGGCCAAGGCTAGGAGCTGGCCAGTTGTTCAGTGGTTAGAGTTTAGTGCTGATAACACCAAGGCCCAGGGTTCGATCCCTGTACCAGCCATCTGCCAAAAAAAAATAAAATAAAACAAAACGAAACAAAGAGGCCAAGGCAATATGAAGACAGAGGTAGAGACTGCAGGTGCAGCTGCAGGCCCAGGAATGCCATCTCAGCAGTCACCAGAAGCTGGAAGACGTAAGGAGCCCATTCTCTCCTAGGGAGAGCACTTGGAGGGAACACAGCTTTGCTGGATTTCAGACCTCTGACCTCCAGAACTGTGAAAGAATAAATGTCTATTGTTTTAAATGATGAAATTTGTTATTATTTGTTACAGCAGCCACAGGAAACTAACACAGTGGGTAGGCATTACAGTGGAACTAGGAAAAGGGCAAGGCATAGAACTCAACCAGGGAGCAACCAGAGTACATTTTCATGAATAGCTGATTCTTAAACTCATCTGTTTCTCCAACAGATATTCAGTGAATCACTGCTGTGGCCTAACTATGTAACTGACTCAGGGGACATGACATTGAATGAGAAAGATCCCATTCCTGAATTCACAGGGAAAGATGGAAAGTTAAATAAGCAGTCAAGACACCATGGTGAAGGCTGTGATAAGGGACTGTGGAACTACACATAGGGACATTGTCCAGTCTTTGGTGGTCAGGGAAGGCTTCCTGGAGGAGGTAGCATCTGAGCTGAGGAATGGAACAAATAGAAGTCAGTCAGTGAGTGCAGAGAGAGGGGCGAGAGTGGGCTCCCAGATGGCAGCTCCTTCTCTTCCTTCATGTTGTGTCTATGTCCAGCCTCTGACACGTGGAAAAGAATGCGACAGGCGGACCCTAAACCCAAGCAACAACAAACCACTGACTTCTCCCAAAACACGAAGCAAGTGCAGGGTGCCTCTAGAGTGTTCAAGCTTCACCGGGATTAGCCTAAGAGTCAGGGAAACCCGAGTTCAAGTCCCAGCTTTGCCTGATACTGCCAGCTGGAACACTGGGAATGTCATTTCACCTCTCAGAACCCCAGTCTTTTCTTTGATTATACCTTTCTGGACCCACCAAGCTCCTGGGGCATGTCCTCCAGGGTCTCAATACACACTTTGGATTTCAATCGACCCAGACCATGGCCATCAAGGCCAATGCCCTGGTTTGACAGAGGTGGAAGCATGCCTGGCTTGCAGTCAGTGGTGAGGCTGGGAACGTGAGCATCCTGCCTTCCGGTTCCATCGTGATGTCCACTACCGACTGCTGCTTCCCCCTAAAGGGGGAAGACCAGCGGGCGTGGTGTTGGACAAGGGGGTGGCATGTTTTCCTATGAAGCTACGGCACCCTGTAGGGAGGCCAGCTTGCTCTCTAGAAATATATCTGCCTTAAAAGGTACTGAAAAAATATTGAAAACAGCAAAAACAGTGGGACGGTTATATGAGGAATACAACACAGCCATTCAGAAAACTGATGTGGTGCAAGATATTCATGATGTATTTTTTTAAATAAATTTTTTTTTATTGAATCATAATTGACTATATATTTGGGGGGTTCAATGTTGACGTGTGTTGACCAAATCAATATTATTAGCATATATATTACTACAAATCGTACTTATTTTGTATGACCCTCGTCCAATCTCTCCCCATCCCCCCTCCCTCCCCCTTCCCACCTCCGATAACCCTAGATTTCTTCTCTCCTTCTGAAAGAGTAATAGTTACTCTGTTGGTTTGTTGACTAGATGATCTGTCTAATGCTGAGAGAGGTGTGTTCAGGTCCCCCAATATTATTGTATGGTAGATGCTGCTTCTATCACTCTGGAATGGGCTTTGTGGAGAGAGACATCCTCTTTTCTTTGGGCTCTGTTGGTGACTCTCCTTCTGTCAATGCACTCCAGTGGCTGATGGGCCATCTGCATGGTGGTTGTGGCGTCCAGCCACTTTTGTGGCAGCCATGGCTATTGTGGTGGCTGCAGTGGGCCACCCACATGGAAATGGAGTTTTTGGCGTGTTCCTTGCCTGATTGTGGGAGGAGGGGTTGGTCCCCAGATCCATACCTCAGGGCCCTGGGCAATCCCTGAAAATAAAGTTTATTTAGACATGCAGAAAAATTACAAAGATAGTACAGAGTTTCCATATTCCTGCACCCAATTTCCCCTATGATTACCTTACATTACTATGGTACATTTGTCCAATTAAGTAAACCAATATTGATACATTACTATTCACTAAAGTCCGTACTTTATCCAGGCTTTCCTAGTTTTTACCTAA